TATGAATCCGGGCCCTCTAAAATAAATAGTGTATTGAATATTGACATCAAAATGTGATATAAATAATTATAAGTTAAATGTAAATCACAAGTGCAGCGAACGACCTTATAGTGCATAGTTTGTCGAAGGTTCTACAAAGTTGCAGTGGCTTCTTGTAAGTGAGATGGACCCACAGTACTAAAATCCTGGGTACTCCACTGAAATCAATTATAGTTGAAATAGTTAACAAATGAAATAATTTCAGTTTTTCATGTCTATAATAAGTTTCAAGATGAAAACATTATTATTCATATCATGACGATGACATCATGTACGGTCTCAATAGTTTTATTGGTAATAATTACGTATTAGCATTTAAAAAAGACTATATTTACACACCCAATATAATATTTTACTCGAATATGAATGYATTTTTCATTGTATAAAATCACTTAAAAGTTAAAATATGTTTTTTAGATCAATTATATACAATTGTTTAAAAAAGTAGGTAATAAATAATGTTGAATAAAAACACATAATATAATATGTGAACCAATGTAAATACTTCAGTAAAATTAGTAAACTTGCCATTTTTTTTATTTTTTTATTTATTAGAAATAAGCCTCGGCAGCGGAGGCCATTGGCTGCAGTGGAGGCCATTGGCTGACACAGTTTACATGCAAGAAAGAATAATTATATACATTATTTACATACACATAATTGCCATTTTTGTATTGACGGTAAAATGTAAAAAAAGGTTCAACTAATTTCAAGTACATATTTTTTTATTATTTGATTTAACCGTTAATATTTTATTATATCAATTAATTATAATTTATAGTCTTATTTTTAAAATTCAACATGTGTCAGAGCTTAAACAATATAATATTCCTGTATTGTTTATTTATTAAATTGAATATTTTTTAACTTATACGTTCAACACCTAGCTAGGTATAGCGATCACTATTTACTTCACAGTATGAAAATGACACCAAYACCAAAGTAATATTGATCAACAGTGACAACACTGTGCAGCTAAATTGCCTATACAAGATGCCGTGTGATTATAATTAATAATAATTATTGTTATTCTTTTAGATGCTTGGAAAAACACCACCAACCTTACGGAAACACCAAGAACAATATATGAAAAGAAACAACAGTWATTGTGTATAAATTATATTTATCGCCCACTGAGCATACCTACAATTGATTATTTTAGTACAAAACATATTATTGTTACATTTCTGGCRAGTTCGAATTCTCATATTATTATAATTTGTTTTCAACGTAATATCAGTATTATGTAAATTTGACGTCTAAGCTTTATTTCACAATGTTTTTTTTTTAATAGGTAGTACATACACGTCAATACAACTTAATATATAAGTAGACAATTATAAAAATAATAATATTATATTTATTTATATTAATATTATATTAAATTTAATGCAATAATTATATATTTACTTAAATCCATTTTCATAGATACCTATATACTTGTTGTTTGTACGATATAGATATAAATGATATTTTTTTGGTTTTGATGTGGGTAGCCCAACTAGGTGTTTGTCCAGATGAATTCCTAAGTATTTAACCATGTTGACCATAGGAATTATTTTATTATTCAGTGAGGACTTTACAAAATTTTTATTTTGAATTGTGATCTCTGCTTAAGTGTAAATTTAAGACTTTATACATTTAAACATAATTGTTTGTTGTATCTTATCAGATTTAAATATCAATACATTATCATGATATTATMAACACATTATAGTAATTAGTAATAATAAACTATATGTCCTTTACATTTTATAAGAGGTAAATTCAATCTAATTTTAAAAATTAGAGAGTAAAAAGCGGGTAAGTGGGTATCGCATCTGCTGTACATTGGGGGTGGGGTGGACCTCTGACTAGGGTAGGTTAAATTTTAATACAATGATAGGTATCATTGTATACGAAAAAACGATTCTGAACAAAGACGGTTTATCTGTCTAGGATATATTATAGATTATTAAAAATTTT